CATAAAGCCACCAAAAAAATCTGCTTTTGAAAATGTTACTTAAATCATCTGTGAACTGCAAGGCTCTTCCTGTTTGTACACAAACTCAACTGCTTTTGGAAGTAAGTAAAGGGTGAGATGTGGATGGAGCAGGAGTTTTTCCTCATGAGGCTATCTCTTCTTTGTAACAACTGGGGGAGTGAAAAGTTCTCTGAGAAGCCCTGAGACATTCCAGTGAAAGAGGTGGTTTCCCAGAAATTCTGCAAAGCCCCTGGCCTGCAGACGGCCAGCATTTCTACACCGCTCTACACACAATAGCCAAAAAGTGCAATGCAAATATGACCAGCCTCTCCAGTGTTCCACTAGGAGTTTGCCTTCATTACAATTACTGCAGTTGGATTAGATGATCTTGGAATGTCCCTTCCAACTGAACTACTCTATTCTGCTCTGGCAGATTGGCACTCAACACCTCAGTCAGTCACACTGCTCAGCAAGCCTTGTTTGATAGTCTATGACGCTGACCCTACGTTCCCCATTACTGTTAGCAGCACTTCTGGAGTCGTACCACATCCAGTCACATGCTGTCAACACACAACGGTCTCCAAGCAAGACTAATACAAAGGAAAAACATTCCTAAATTCCAATCCACACCCAACCATATAACCAATTTGCAAGATAATAATAATAAAAAATCAGTATTTGGGGTAGCAACCACCATGGATCTGAATTAGTCACATGTTCATAGCTTAGTACAAAGCCACGTACTTCTGGCCCCCTACTAATCTGCTGCTCTAGTTTGGGAACAAAAGCACAAACCTTTAAATGGAGCAGGTGGTGGCACAAAGTAGTTCATTTTTGGATGCACCATAAGTGGAATATCTTTTCCAACACGTGGTGAGCACAACCGTCCTTTCACTTACACAGTGCAGTCCCACTCAGACCACACCGTTTGGTGCTACCATGCACAGCAAAATTCATCCATGAAAATCACACTGTCCACGATGTCCATCATAAATAAATAAATACCACGCACCAAAAATCTCAAAAGCCTGGCCAGGTGTCAAAAAACAGTGTCAATTCTCATCCCTTAATTCAACCATATATTCTCTGAGTTGCCTTGACAAACTACCCAGGGATACGTATCCATAATGGCTTCTTCATTTATCTTAGCTTTTCCAGTCCTAAAATAAATTAGTGGCACATAATTTCTAAGTTGTGACATGAAGAAAAATTCATTTGCTGCTCTTCAGTGTCTGAATAGATTTACAGGTAAAGGATTCCCCAAGGAAACACTGACCAGCATGGTGCTTCACTGGCTCATATACTTCTGGGTGCAGTATGACTTTTCAATATAATTCCGAAGTGAACACAGAGGTAAAATGTATTCATATTTCTGTATTTCTAATAATGTTCTCTCTGGAATGTCAAAGCTCAAAATTTAAGAAATAACTGCTCTGCATGTGCATGCTAATACACTGCTTTGCAGATGGGAAATAGAAAAGTCTTCTTGTAAAGCACAGAGCTACACTGGTATATTTCTTCCAGAAATAATTACAAAATCCAGGATTTCTCTGTATATATGTGACTTTGATTCTTAGATGGCACATGGACTACTTAGAGATCACGTTACTAAGTTAGTTGCAGTTAATGGGGAAAAAAAGGCTAAAATTAATGGGTCACTAGGTATTTTCTTCTGAGAACTTAAGTACTTAACAGTAAGAAAAAAACAGTTTACAGCCAGGTGGCTTGAGGGGATATTTTGTTGAACGCTGATTAAAAATAATTTCTTCTAAATGAGACCTGACCACAAAATGGGTCCATTAACGAGCAGGGACATTCTCACCAGAAAGGAAACTACGCTCGATCGACTCCTGCACCGCCCACAAACCCCAGGTCTTTTTCTCTCTCACACACTCTCCTTTTTTATTTTTTCCTTCTTCTCCTCTCCCCTTTTCTTGTTCTTAATAGCAGGGTAAATAAGCAGCAAGTGATGCCGAAATGTTTTCGGCCAAAAACAGAGGCCAAACTCCTCTGAGAAAACATTTGGCCTCTGTGGTTTTGTAATATGTTCCAGAACACTGAGTTCACTGAAGAACATTGTGAAAAACTCCCATCGGCTGCAGTGATGCTGGGGAATGTTACTGCATCCCAACTTCCAATTGGTCCATTTCCTGCAGGCCTTGTTAAAAAAAAAATAAAAAAAAAAAAGGAAAAAAAAAGAAAAAAAAAATAGTGCTATGTGGGAGTTAAAACAAGTTCTCATGGGAAAAATGAATGGTAAGAAATTCTAGCTTTAAAAGAAACAGCTAATCTGCTAGTTTGATTGTTCTTCAAAACTTACAATGAACCAATAATCCTAATTAAAAACACTTGGCCTAGTTCTCTAAAGCATCATAGCTTTTTCTATGCTTCGTTTGTACACACCATAGACTATTAGTTTTTTTCTAGTGCTCACTAACAAAGTGCTGACTTTGTTGGGATGGCTGAGCTAATTTCGTGAACTCAGTGTGAAACCTTAGCTAAACAAAATTGTGGTAATTTTCCTTAATTTGTAGAAGTGATTGGAGTGCAAACAAAATTTTCCTCTTGGGTCAATCCTATAATTTTCAATTAACTAAAACTAATCGGCAGGCGTGTACCGAACCTGCATTTTGTTTAAAGGGCTGGAAGGCACTTCTGAAGGTCAGGATGCATTAATTGTTTTTATTTTAGTTTCATTTAGTCCTTTAAAAAAAAAGACACATTTAAGATCAGGCTGCCTGTGAAAGGATTGAAAAGATGCAAATTGTGGGAGGTACCATTTCAGTCACAACAGCATTTCCATATCCACCCCCACTCCATAAAAGCTGTGTAAGTACAAGAATTGTCCGTAGATTGGATCACCTTTGATTCTGTCATTGTTGTTTAGTATTTCATAACTTTTGTTTATTGAATGAAAAATCATGTGTTTCAAACACTAACCTGAAAAGGCATATATGGAAATACTTTCCCTACTGGCACAACTTATTTCCACATACAACCATCTGCTTTTGGGCAAGCAGGCTAAACTGCCATTCTTCTTTCTTTCTCCTAGAAAAGCTATATAACAGTGATCTGAAAAGAAAAACAAAATGGGTCCGAGCCATTTTACCATTTAAATTGCATAAAGAAGTCCCCATAAATTTCCTTGTATAGTCGAGAAGGGTCAGGTTTCCTCCCTGTCTCTCACTTCGCATGCACACTTTCCATTTCACTGGCCAAACTGCAGCCAGCCCAGTGGCTTACCAACAAGCAGGAGAGCACAGCTTACTGTACGAAGTCAGGAAGGGAAAGGATTCACAGTGAAACTGTCCAGAGCTCCGGCTGACACCTTCATGTGGTGCACACTGCCAATTTGCACCAGCTGGCAATTTCACCCTTTTCCTTTTTCTTTTGTTCCAGCACATTCAAACCCTAAGTAACTTTATGGTATTATGCATTATTGTTCAATGTATGAACTTCCCACACACTGTTGAAATCATATCACTCACAAAGAACACACAGCAAAGTCTGCTGCTTAGTGAATGAGGCAATAGGTGAATAAGAATAGGTGAATAAAGAGTAAACTCTTCAAAAGGGCTGACAACAGCAGGACTAGGGGAAATGGATCGAAGTTGAAGGAGGGAAGATTTAGGTTGGATGTTAGGGGGAAGTTCTATACAAGGAGAGTGGTTAGGCCCTGGAACGGGCTGCCCAGGGAGGTTGTGGATGCCCCGTCCTTGGATGTGTTTAAGGCCAGGTTGGACAGGGTCCTGGGCAACCTGATCTGAATGTGTGTGTTTGGTGGCCCTGCTAGGCAGGGGGGTTGGAACTACATGATCCTTGAGGTCCCTTCCAACCCGGGTGATTCTGTGATTCTGTGATTCTGTGATTCTGTGAATACTAAGACCTACAAAAAAACAAAATAAAACAAAAAAAAAAAACCAGCACATAATTCCAAACAGAGGAGAGAGTATTTGCAAGAAGAAAGCTTTATATATCACCTTTGTTCAACTTGCACTGCGTTAAAGAAATCTAATGAGAGCTTTGTTAATCAGAGCACAGAAGTCCATCCTCTGCCTTGAGCTCCTGGGTGTACACTCCCAGCTGGATAAATGTACGTGCCCAATGTAATTCAGAATGATCCATAATACGTACTTATGTGGCGTATTATTCTTAAAGTTTGAGGTGCAGTCAAAGATGAGGCAAGGAATTGCACTGGATTGTGATGATGTTCTTCAAGCAAACAGTTACAGAAGCAGTAGCCCTGTCTGCACTATGGCTCAAACAACAAGCACATCCAAACCTGGAGCAAGTTGTTAATTCTCAAAGCATGCATAGCTTCCAAGGAATCAAAGATACAAGTGTTTGTTTGTTTGCTTTAAAAGGTAGGCTGCTACTTGGTTTATTTCCCATGCCATCTATATTACTGCTGAGAGTGATTTAACATCTACATTACCGTAATGTCTTAGCAGTTTTGTCAATACCTCTTCAGGCCAGAGCACCCTTCTCAGTGGTCTCAGTATGGGATGCCAGCCCAAAACACAGCAAGTCATTATGTCTGAAGCACTGACCGGGGTGAAAACCACATGGCCCCCACAGAAGCCAGAAGCGAGTATGTTATAAGGAAATGGGAAGGCAAACAGGCTGTGCTTTCAATACTTGCTGGGCCCTGGTACAACATGAGATGCAGATTTTTAGCTGCTACTATTTCTTGGAAAGCAGGTTTGTGAACACACTGTGTGTCTGGCTCATTTCTTCAGACCCGTAGCTCTCAGGTAAAGAGATGCCCTACAGCGAGGATCAACAAGCAAACAAACACCCCACACTGGCATGCCTTCTGATTCATCTCTATATTCCTCCATTTCAGAAATTCAACTTTATATTGGTATCTTCAATGACGTGCTCAGCCCAAATAATAAAATATGGTACAGCTTTTAATGATGAAAGCTGAAGCCCTAGTGAGCATGATACATTGCCTACCCTATTTCTCCACATTATATCTGGCACTAAAGTATCCTTACCTGTGTAAATGAATCTTCCAGGCGTTCCCTTGCAAAACTGCTTAGACTTGTAGGACAATGTGACTTCTACAACCCCTGGGATATGTCGGGGAGGTGTCTGTACACGGATGGCATGAGGAGTAATCAGCTAGAGGAAAACATTGAGAAGAGAAAAGAGGGGGGGGGGGGGGCAAAGCACTGTTAGATGCTGAACACTTCTTTAATAACACTTTCCTCTGAGATCACAGTAAACAAGCTTTGAAACATGTAATTAACCTGTCAATGTTTGAATACAGTCACAATGTAACCCACACAAAAGCCAGAGACTACAATATTTACAAGCATTTTCCCTTCTCATCCAAAGCAACATTATTTCTGTTTTCATACATGGCAGATGCTCGCTTCCTAGCACAAGCATTAGCCCTGGTTTAATGCAACAGCTTTAGCTTACACCAGCAAGATGCTCACATTTGCTCAGGTGAACTCTGGGGTCACGACAGTGTCCAGCAAACCTAACTGATAAATGATGCATGGTTCTGCATGTGACATCCCTTCAGCTGAGATTGGCTGCCCAGTGCAAGCTCAGGCAGGCTTTTAAAACTGGTCCCCAGCTGACATCTGTACACTGCAAAAGCACCATGTGCTGCAGTTTTAATTAGAGACTCTTTCCTATTCATTTTCTGGAGGCATAACTGATTACCGCAGAAATGCAAAGTTGCGTTTCTGAAGTATGCAGGGTGTTTCCTTGCAACTGATCAAAGCCCTCAAAAGAGGTGTACCAAATATAAACATTTATCCATTTGTTCAAGTTTGCATCTACTGACACAGTGGCTGGCACTGATACTGTGGCTGACACACCTCTGAGAGGTCTCCTCTACGTGCAGGTAATAAATAGGAAACTTAACTTCCTTGCTAAGAGGATTAGTGCTCTTGTACTCCACACAGAAGGATGGGACAGTGCTTCTCATCCTGGACTCTGTTAGGATTATTGGCTAGATTTAAAACACAGTCCTTGAAAATAATATTAGAACCATTCAGGAGTTCACTAGTTTCTTGCACTTTAACTCAGAATTTTTGCTATGTTCAGAAACTACAGAACTGCTCTCCCCATCACTGAAATGTCATTTTCTCACTCATTCTGCCACCTCAGGCAGGAGAAGTAAAAAAGGTACATAGAAAAAGTGCCATGACTGTATCCAGCAAACAAGATACAGCTCTGGCACATGCACTACCCTACTCTTGGGCACCTTAAAACACAACCAACCAGGCCCACAACCACCCCTGTCAGTGATCAAAGCCACAGGTACCCTAAGCAGACAATAACTCAGAGCTGTCAGCTGACTTACATCCTGGATTAGGGAATACAATTTAATGCCTTTTTTTTTTTAATTTTTATTTTTTTAATAAAAGCTGACTTAGACTTTATTTTTAACCAGGAATGAAGTATTTCAAAATCACAGTGAGATCCTATAAAAAAATTAGGCTTCTAAGCAGGTCATCGTTTAGGGCACAGGACTGTTGCTCCAAGCATGTATCACGAACTGCCAACAAAGCTAAAATTCCCAAACAAAGCAGTCTGTAAAAACACAAAACAAAACGAAACAACAAAAAAAAAACAAAGAAGGAGAGGAATGTCTGCCTCAGAGCCATCTGTGTTACTGCAGGAAATGGCATTCACAGTAGGAAGTTCTCCATATTTAAAATAAGAAAATTAGTATTAGATCAAGTTGAAGATTAAAAACAACAGTACCAGCATCAAATATTCCAAACGTTATTCAGTTCCACATAAATCATAGGATCAGCTCCCAACCCATGTCATTTTAGAAATGATCACATAAGAATCAATGTTCTTGTCTGAGAGCTCCAAAGAGATCTTTGAAATTACATGATTTAGGAACTTATTTTTGAAAGGAACATGCCTTTTTCCCCAAATTACTCACTCTATCTACTGGTCAAAACAAACAAACAACTCTGAGGATCCCTTTTACTTAAACTGAGTTGCCTTAAAATTGAGCTGACCAAAGTCACAAACTCTAGGCTAATGCTCTACATGCCCTCGATCGTCAGCAGAAACACAACAATAATTTCCTTCCATGGTTGTAGACACCTCTCAGTTAGCATAAGCTGCTCCCTGGAAGTATCTGCCTTTCTCCAGCTAACCAAGGTGACAAATTTAGATGCTTAACTGTAGGCAGCCAAGCACAGCTGAGATAAATCCCACCCTCAGGTAGTTGTAGTCAGCTGGGTGGACTGGCAAGGTGAGAAAAAATTCATGACATTTTCAGAGGAAAAAATGATTGTAAATACAGCCAAGGATTTTAATAGTGAAGATTAACGTGCTAGTCTTACTGCACCAGTGTGTGCCCCTCACCCCCATTCTGGCATGAGCTATACGGGCAGCTTCTGGTTGTATCTTTGAATTTCCCAACATTTACTGGTCTGTCACCACTTTAATGTTCTTTAAACATAATTTGTGGCATTTTCCAATACTCATCTTCACTGGTTCCCAAGAAATGTCTGACCTATTTATGGTCCATTGTTACAGAGAGCTGGGGAGAGTTAAGCAAGTTTCCTGGTTTGTTCTCCACAAACAGTTTGGTTTTCCTTTGTGCTCTGAAGTAAATAAGTTTAACTGTGTTTAAAACCACAAATATACAATACTGTCTCCCACACATTCCCAAAGGGTGAACATTATGTCTAAAGTTATATGGTTTAGGATAATCAGTATATATTTTATTCCTCTCTTCTCTGGAACTGAAGTCTGGAAGATGTATGTGGAGAATACACATTCCTCTTCCTTTAGCTTTTTCTCCTTACCTCTACCACTGACCACTATCAGGAATGCAGCACTGAACTAGAAGTACCTGACCTTCTGGGTCAGATTTGGTTCTCATGCCCACAGAAAGGGAACTAGCTAACTTGGTTACATACCAGTATTCCCCTGTATTGTTGCTGGCTCAAGAAATTGTATTTCAGAGACAAAAAATGTCATTACACTTAGAAACCTGTCATCTGAATCCACCTCTGTTCTTGAACTCTGGTTCCCCAACACCATCAGGGTACCATCCTGAATTTGTTTTGCTGTCAGTGTGATTCACAGGTGCTGCATGGATCTGGGTGCACAGCCAGAGCAAATCTACCCACAAGTCTCAACTACTCCAGAACTGTGGCATATTTTTCTGTTGAAGTGCTGACCTGTGGTGTGATCAGGGGAACTCCCACATTTTGCTAGCACATTTTCTCCTCTTACACTGACACACATTATACTTTTTTCAATGCACAGTCTGCCTAATATTTGCATGCAAAGCACCCGGAAGAGGTAAGCTATTAGAATTGGGTGATCTTGAACATAAAGATGCCATTTCTGGAGCCCTCCGAGACCCAAAGTGTTGAACTTCTTGAGAAACATCATTATATGTTCACCCCATTGCTTTCATAGACATCTGCCATTGTCCACTGCCAAATACAATACACAGAAAAGATGAACCACCCAGTGTGGGCATTATGATGCTCTAACCTCAGGTGGAAACACATATTGCATTAACAGACAACACAACACCTAACATGACATGAAATAAGAATCTGTAAGAAAGAATTACCTACATTTCTGAGCATGTGTTTAGATGTAAACCCTGAGCAATGCACTAACTTGTGACTTGGAGATAAACCAAGCAGCCAGAATCCCAAATCCAACTTCCTTTCCTGATCCAGTAGTTGGTAAACTAAGATCGGGAGTTGGACAAAAACTACCAACTGCACCCTTCTCCCAAGGGGTTTTCAAGTGAATTGGTCTGGTACTTGGCATCTGTACTAGATGTTTTATATAAACTCTTACTTGTTCTAAGCCAAGTTAGAGATATTCAGAATGGACGGAGGTGCGTGTCCTTCAAAATCTGGAACACATTTAGTTTGTGTACAACAAGCCTCTTTCTGTGGCTTGCTAATATATTCTAGACATTCTTCTGTGATACAGCATCATTTCACACTCTTCAGAGTGCCAGGTTACTTTCTTTTTTTGAAAAGTGACATTTAATAAGAAGATGTCATTAATCTGAGTCACTAGTTTATTTCTGCGTGCTTGAGCTCTGGTTTGTGGTTGGGGAAATGGTGACAATCGGTCATAAATTTAACTTGGACTCTGTGTGAAGAGGACTATTAGGACAGGAATTACAAAAAAAAAAAAATCCAACAAAATGAAGGTAATGAATGGCTTGCAGTAGGAACGGGACCCTTAAGGTATCTATTTTCAAAAGTGACCAGTGGCTTCGCGTGCCTCAGTACTGGGTATCCAGATGCTGATTAATAAGCCTTGGCTTTCAGAATGAGGGTGCCTACTCATTTTTTAAAAATGAGTCAGCCCTCCAAAATAAGCACTCAAAAAGAGAGACTTCCAAAATCAATAACAAACATGAAAAGCAAAACAAAAAACTGTGTCACAGAATTTGATTCAGCAGCATTAAAAAAATGAAGCTCTGTTTTTGTGCTGTACAAAGCTGATGTTTCAGTGCTTCATCTTCTCTTAATATAAAAGAAAGAAGTTGTTTCCAGCTGACTCTGTGCAGCTGGAGGAATGTTCTTGGCAGGAAAATGTTTGAAGAAATAGCTCATTTTAAGCAAATATTGTGGAATATTTATAAGAAACTAATTTTGTCTTCACAATCATGTGTGCTTGCTCTGAAACTCGACTCCTGGAATTATGGTCCCCCAATAACAGGATTTTATCAGCAGCTCAGATTTGGGATATTTGCAGCAATGTGCAGTGCTGGGTAAAAAACTAAATAACAAATCCTCCTGTTTGTGGACTGGGCAAACAGAAAGGCAGAGTCTATCTGGCAAACAGACTATTTGCTGGGAGTTGTCTGTTCAGATTCAGCATGTGAACACGATATACCAATACTGTTTCCCTGCCAGTTCTAAAAGTCCCTTGAAAAAAAAAGACATCAGATGGTTCATTTTGCTGTATTCTAAAAATATCAAGGGCTCTTAAAGTCATTTTTATAAAGTAATATGGAAGTTAAGGATTAATTGAACCCACTGGCTTAGGGTATCTGCATTTCTGCACAAAATTAATGTGACAAATTAAGTTTTTATTTAGTTCTCCCTGGCTGAGAAAGGTTGTAATTACGTTAGAGTGTTTACAGCTAAAATATATCTTTAAATAATAAATACGTGTTTCAGAAACCATTTTAAACCTCCTTTTTAAACAGTGTACTCCATTTCAAGCATATAAATATTTCAATTACAAAACTTGAATACATGTAAAATAAATTAAAAATATATTATTTACACTTCAAATTATTTATAACATATGCTGCTTGACATCAACAAACACACCCTTAAAGCGAACGATATTTTTTGGTTTTTAGCTTTGCTTCTCAACAGTGGTAGGATTTATACTTTAAATATCCATGCATCTCAGGTACTTACATGGGTTTTGCTATAATAAAATCCAAGCAATATAGGACCTTTATGATAATTATCTTCCCAGCACCTCTCTGAAGAAGGTGGCTAATCTTATTACGATGTTGGAGAAAGGGAATTGAACTTTAAGCAGATTATGTGATTTGCCCAAGGTCCTATGCAAAGTCTGTGGCAAAATGATACTTAACTTCGACTGCATCCCCCCAAACCACCCGCAATTGCAATCTGAAGTGATACTGGACAAATCCATGCGAACACACTTCAGAGTGCTCACTCTTTTCCTTTAGTTTCCTCCTGTCTAGCTTTGGTTTAGATTTTATGCAGCCCAGTTAAAACCATGTGTTCTTTGGATGCATGAAACAACAGGGAGAAATCAAGAATTCTTGTTGAATTCAATTACAAAATAAGCTGTTCAAAAGCAGGTCTGTCTGGCAGCTTGGGATGGACTTGCTCCAGGTTTACAATCATACTGATAGTCAGAAAATGGGTAGTTCAAGTCTACACTACTAAAGTAAAGCAAAAATATTCTTCCTGAGCACTGAAATATGCCAGACATTTTTAGACGTGGGAAGGCAAATGAAAGAACTTGTTTTGTACTTCGTATGTGGTTGGTATGAGTAACTTCAATTATTTATACATCAATATCACTTAGGGGTTATTTAGACAGCTGATGCCTTTCTGCACTTGTTGACCATGTTTGTCTGCTTCTTTTAGAAATAATCTCTTTTCCCCTATAGAATTTTCTATCATTCTCATGGGTTGTGAAACTGAGAACTAATTCTTTAAGGGAGAGATAGTGGAATAGTTCTGACTCAAAGCCGACTTGCAGCCCGTTACAGCATTTACAGCAACAGACTGACTTTGATCTGGGCCCCATCTATAGCATTATTAATTTTATGACAAGGATTTCTAAGCATCATCAACAATGTTTTGACCGGCACTCACTTACCTGAGGTTAGGATTTGCCAATTAATGGCTTCCACTAATAAACAGAATCAAGATTTGTAACGAAAGATCCAATTCTGCAGTACCAAAACCAGAGCAATTTCCTCCCAGCCTCTTCACCTTTCCTTTTAAAATGTCTGTAGCCGTAATGGCTTCAATCCTTACACACAAAATGCTTACACTGGACCCAAGGGGCACTTTCATGATCACATGAGGGTTTCAGAATAGGGCTCATTTAAAATATCTCCTTTTCTGCAATGCCCTTTCATCCACACTTGTCCTCAAGTTGAAGAATGAGATAGAGGGAGAACCGTGAAGCCCATGAAGGACATTAGAGGATACTCTTCATATGGAATAAACACTGCTGTATGTGCAATAGAATCAGTAGGGAGAATGCACTGGATATTAATTAAGCTATAATATTGATTTAATATCTATAAGATATAAGGCAAAGGATCAGAAGCTCCTCATGTCACTAGGCAAGAATTGTTCAGTCAGTTTGGAAAGGCAGGTCTGTCTCTTAGCTTGTTTATTCCAGTACTACACTCCTAAAAATATCTTTTTTTTTTTTTTTAATTAAAACTTCCAATATTCTTTCAGAAAGCCATATAGGCAAAACTTAAACCTTTCCTTTGAGCTGCCATCCCACGCCAGAGAGGCCAGTGGGAACTCTGCCCATGAAAGTGGCTATTTGGGTGGTGCTTCCTGGGACTTGACATTCCACAGACTTATGAGGACTATCAGACTCCATATCTAATATTGTGCCTGGAAAAGAGAAGACTTAAGTAGCTAGGAGAAGCAGCAACAGTAAAAATGGATGAGAAACAAAGAAAGGAAGGTTTACTCAAGTTATAGAGGACCTGATGGACAATAAGGCTGTATTTTTCATTCAGACACAACACTGAATGTACACTTTCAGGACATGCCATTCAGAGGTGCTGAATTTCTGCAATCTCCACTCAGTTGAGCTGCAGCTACAAGCAGCCAGATTCCCTGGAATGCAGGATCACTTAAACGTTTGTTTCCTGTGGGCCTCTAGCTATTGTAGTGCAAAATGCAGAATTATTCGCACAGACATTTATCCTTTCCTTTTCTTGAGGGAAAAAAAAAAAAGACACTGAACTAAATTCTGAGCCAGCAAGAGGGGATGCAAATCCCCCGGTTATAATGTAGTTCTGCCACAGGTGCATTTGACTAATTATTTACATAAAACTGAATGAGGAAACGATTCCTATCAAAGCATTTGTTGCTGACTTAGCATGTGGCATAGAAAAAGGACAGGAGAGCTGTAAGCTAGACAAAGCTATCAGACATTACCGTTCAGACAACACCTACCTCACTCCAAACCAGCATGGTGCCGAAGATGACCTGTAACCCATCAAAGAAATTGTCTCCTATGATGATGACAGTGGCACCTCCTGTAGTCCATCCTTCACTTGGACTGATGGCTTTGATACATGGTGTAGCTGCTTTTCAACACACATGAAAAAGAGAAGTATTCTGCTGTTAGAACCAGATTTTAATGATGGAAGAATTGAGAAAAATAAAATAAAAAGAGCTTTCATTTTTCCCCCCTTGGTAACACAAAGATTTCAGCAATTGTGTTCTTTTTAGTACATTTCCATGACCTCCAGCTTCCAATCTTTGGAAGCTATTTTTATTTTTAATTAATTTATTTGGGTTTGTTATCCACGTTGAAAAAAATAATAACTTTTATAAGCCTAGAAAAAGGTAATATATTTTATATATAAATACAGATAGATAAATAATAGATCACAGCATGATGAGCAGAGACCAACTGGAAGTTAGAACAAATCTCTACTTTTTTTTGTACATGAAATGCAGAATGCCTGAATTAATAAAACAATCTTCAGTGAGCTCGGTTTATTATCCATCATAACCTAAATTAATCAAGGAAACTCCCAGAAATACTCTGGAAAATATTGGCTGAAAAAACCACCAAAGGGTGTAACCCTCACCATTCCTTTACGTTGTCTGCAATCAGATCCAGGTTGTTCTGGTATTAAACCACCCTGCCCTGCATAATGCTGTAGCAGCTACAGAAAAAACTTCACAAAGCCAGAAACCACCATCCTGCCACCTCGTCACTCCACTTATGTTGTGTCTACTGGGTAATTAAGAAGTGTGTGCAATGCATTTCGCCTTATTCATACAGTCTGTCACCACTTTCATGAGCCACTTTCTTGGCAACACATGTACTAAGTGCCTCCTGAGGGGATGTTGAAAACTCAAGCAGAACTTAAAGGAGAAAGCTCAAATCTAGGTGTAAGATCATCTGTATTAAGACTATGAAAGCTGAAGCACTGTCAGCTTTATATACTGGTGGGGTAGGGCAATAAAAACATCCATGGGCTGATTCTCCTCCTCTGCAGTACTGGAGTACATCAGAATTTAACTGTTTTGAGCCCAACGGAATAACACTATTGTAAAAACAACCTGAGCAGGCCAAAAAGCACTGGGTAACTCTCAGCTGTTGAGTCTCAGAGTGGCTGTATAGGTTGATGAAAACAAACGGCTCCAACTCAAATGCTACCTACTTCTCCTTGCTAAAATACAGGAGAGAGAATTATGACGCCACATCCTTAGATACTGCTTGAAGTAAAAAGAGTATCTGAACAATTTCATTAGCCACAAGAAAGATACCTTAAGGAGCAGCAAAACTCCACCAGTCAGCCTCTGTGCTGGAAAGACACATTTTTCCTTTTAATGTGAACCACTCCTGAGCTCAGAGAAGAGGCTGGCTCCATGAAAAGTACAAGAGAGGCTGCCATTGCCTGCACTACAGCTACAGTGTCATTCGGGTGTCAGTCAACACAGCTTCATTAGCTGTGTATATATCTGCACATAAACCTCTTCTTGTAAGTTGCTGGCACTTGGCTGTCCATTGCCATTTGGTCAAAAGGCTTGTTTGGTTTGTAATGCTGAATAATTGCTGAAATACTCAAGGGAGAGCTTTCATAAACTTACTAAAGAAGGATATAGTAGGAAAACAGGAGGTATGAAAGTCACCTGCATATTAACACAATCCAAGATAGAACCCTTGCACCCATGAATTACTTAACACTGCTGAGTGGTGGCACAGCCCCTGCCCTGCTTCACTTTAAACATAAGGACTGTAAATTCATTAATTCATAGAAGCATGCCTTAAAGTGCTCCAAACATAAAGTGCTAAAGAGACACTGTGCATCTTTATGATTATCTAGTGGGGTTCCGCTTGGTTGGAGTTAATGCCTTCCTTCATCCCCTGGGCAAGACAGGCAGCATGAGAGGGAGCTGGGAAGGGAGCTGGTGAGTCACCCTCAGTAGTGTTACTGTGGGCTCCGCTGCAGACTTGCACCACCAGTGATGGAGAGCATTCATGGTGAGCAAACAGACCCTGTTCCCACCTACAAAAGGTTCTAAGCGTCAGGCACAAAGTTTTCCACTACTTCAGCTGGTGGGGATGCCAGCACCAGTGAAAAACACAAACACACACATGCTGAAAAAAAATCATTACTCTGCTTCAAACTTGGCAGAGCACAGCCATTAAGTTTTACATGAGCTAACAAAAGAAACATCCTAACATTACCATCATGAAAATGCAGCGCACACACAGAGGTAACTTCAATATGTTTAATTTGGATTCAAGTTACTTGCATAAAAATGTGCATAAAACCATTGCAAAGTCCAAAACCAAATGCTTTCCTTTCAGCCGAGCTCATAGCAATGGTTCACAATGAAAGCAGCTTTTGAAAATGCCATCTAGCCCTTTCACAGAACCAAACCTTTTCATAAATAAAAAATAAAATCACTTCCAAATTACACCCTTTCTACTATTTCCAGTCAATTGTGGACACACACACCACCATAAAACCCAAAGATAACCATTTTCCCATGTGTTAGAGAATGAGCTACTTTTCTTTAAAGACTATAGGCAACATTTTTTTCCTAAATACCAGTGAATAAAAACTGTTTAAGACCATACCCCATTAACGGAAAACATATGCAGGCTTCAAAATTATAGAATCAATTCATCTTTAAAATGAATGCAAGACACTGTTGTGCCGTTGCCAGTCCCCACCAAAGGTCTTGCTGTTTGTCCTGTGATCTTTGCTGCAGTAGCTACACTACACTCACTGCAAGGTGTAAGGCTGCATGTGCTGCTTTATGTGTTTGATTCTCATCTTTTATAAATGTTGCACTTCGATGAATCTGCTGGCAACTGCCCAGGACATCTCCGAGGAGGAGGAAAAGTCAGGACTGGGTTTTTAATAAGTAAGGCAGTTTTGTATCCGCCACAGGAAAAACCTGAGGAGCAACAAGAGCACTGTGCACTCCCACAAAATGTGGTATTATTTTTCCTTGGGACCAACACAAAGAACAGTGGAACTTCCCAGCTTTCCTCACGCAGCTCTGTCTTTTATCTTAAAATGCACATCTCTGTAAAGATTGGAACGGTTGCATGAAGGTGCTTCCCCACAAAGGAATCACAGAATAGAGTTATACAATCACCAAGGTTGGTAAAGACCTCCAATACCACCTAGCCCAACCATCCACCTACCACCAATATTTCCCCACTAAACCATGTCCTTCAGTACATCATATAAATGTTTATAGAACATCTCCAAGGATGATGACTCAACCACCACCGTGGGCAAATATAATCATAGAATCACTAAGGCTGGAAAAGACCTCTGAGATCATCTAGCCCAACCATCCACCTACCACTGATACTGCCTACTAAATCATGTCCCTAAGCCATGCTGATGGCTGCAACCCAAGGACGCCCAAGGAGACATGCTGACGGAGGCATCCAGACTGCTGCCTGTTTTTGGAGGCACAAAACATGTTTATACAATGACCACTTTGTGACAGCTGGTGTTGTTTGGAATGTTGGTCTTACTAAATTCTTTGCACTTCCCAGGCCCTTTCCACGGAGCACCAGGAAGCAGGATGGAAGAATCGGGTACCGTTTGCCAGCATCGGCAGCAGAAACATCAGGAGGATGGCAATGCTATGACCTCAGCTCTATTTATGCCTCAGGTACACACGTCTGGCCAGCACAGGCCCTCAGCTCTTCATACTTCTTCTGTTAGCCATCTGGCAACTTTCAAAGCGCTGTCTGGAAGGTGTTTACTTCTGTGCAACCCTAGAAAAACAGAGCTAGGCAGAATCGTCTTTTCATTGCGGACCTCAATTTTTCTATGTTTTGTTTTGGTCACAAGAGAAATCAAAGTACAGATCATTTTAGGAACAAAGTCCCAGAATCTCCATCCAAAATTAGCTATAATGCTTTTTAACCAAGAAAAACAAAACATTTTGTTTCAAAATATTATCACATCAGATGACATTTTGTAACATTAGGGCATCATTTCTGAACTGGTGTTTTAAAAACAAATAGAAAAAAAAGCTACATCAAATTTGTGTTCTTCTGTAGAACAAAAAGATTTTAGTTGGGAAACCAAAACTTTACTAATGAAGATTGCACAGTAAAAGACTTCAGGCCAGTTCCAATAATGGCAGTGAAGTAGAAGGATGGATAGCATGGACAGACTGTTATTTCAGAGAAGATTATAATAAAAATTCTTATATACCAACATTAAAAAGAAAACAGAACACCAGCTGGCAGCTTGCTTAACTGGAACAAAAAGAGTTTGGTAGCCTAACTATCAGAAAAGTTTTAAACCAACTCTCTGCGGCCTGGTATTAGTCAACACATGCTTTTCAAATTCCACTGGACTAAGGAAAAACCCTTCAGACTGCAGGTGTGGACCTCGCACACCTTGGGAAGCTGATGTGGCCACATCCTCCACCCACTGCAGTGGCTCAGTGGTTATGAGCCTTAATGAGCCCCTCTCCTCCTTTGCATACTATCAAGACAAATCAGTGTTAACGTCTGACTTATTTTATTGCACTGCTACTTCAGTTTTAATTAACAGACATAGATTTTAGAAGGAAGAGTCCCAAACTTATGGAAACCAATAGGAATTTTGCGGCTGCCTTCAAAGCTAAGTTCTCTATCAATAAACTTTAAGGATTTACAGGCTAAAAACTTTAATGAATTTCAAGAGCAATGTCCTTTTCAAGTCTTCACGTTCCCTCAGAATACATGCTGCTAAAATCTTGCCATCATCCATACAAAGGGTGATAGGTACCAACTCAGCAAACTGTGAGCAAGAAGGAAAAGTTTTGTGCTGCGTGTACCAGTGGGTTCCAGTGCTCCTGTGCTCCCCTAGCTACTCATATATCGGGGATTTTTCTTCCTTCAAACGGTGACAATAAAATGATTACCCCTCCACAGTTTAGCATAATGGTTCAGAAACGCTCGTGGCATATTGCAGAGTTAAAGTGGAAATTATTAGGTAGCTCTTCTTTGTTATAACAATGATCATTCCACAAATAAAAGCTCTTCTCCCAAAGGTACTGCAAGGCACAAAATGCTAATTCTGAAGATTATGTGTGCGCTTTT